CAAAGTTGTATTCAGAAAGAATAAACCAGTTTTATTTAAGAAAGGACTTGTATCGCTAAAATTTCTTGGGAAAGCATTTTTTACTGAAACTTAACAAACGACTAGAGACGTAACAATACTATATTTAATAAAAGAAATATAAAACAAATGCAGAAATGTATCTTTTGTTACTAAGTTGAAAGGTGATTAGGCCTTAAACCTATTTATAGCCTGTATATTTTATTGTGATACAACATTATTCTGTATCATTTGATTTTTACTAATATCACAAAATTTGGGTCACTTTCTGTTAGAATGAAACTGTTTTAATTAGTTTTTACGACTATATGCAGTGACTGGATTGCTCAGTAGTCTCCGTGTTTATTTCCTCCAGCAACCATTATACCAAACACAGTTTCAGAACGAAGCGGGAGAAGTAAGTATCGTAGCTTATATGTTATCATACCAGTCTGTTGTGCTGCTGTAGTGTTGACCGCTGTGACGCTGTCTGTGTTTCTAGTGGTCTGTCGGCGACGGTCATCTTCCTCATCTAATACATACGAAGGTACGTAACTTATAGCCAATAAAAATAAGAAAAATCATATGCAAATATTAATCTATCTACAACTTAGACTGATGATTTGTTAGTAAAGACGAAAATTTTAGAAAACAAAATAGGTGTAAGTTTTTTTAGCAATGCATGCAACAACTTTTTTAGATTTTGTTTGATTTAAATGTTTAGTTTTTTTACTCACCACTAACGAATCACAAAATAGAATAGGCTACTACATAATCTTTTCTTCACTGATTTTCACGCTTTGGTGAAGAAAACAAAAATATCGAATCAACTTTTTTTAGACTATTGTTTTGTTTTTAAGCTCAAGGCTACACAATTGGCTATCCGCGCTCTGTCTATCCCGGAGAATCGAACCCCGGATTTTAGTATTGTAAATCCATAGACCTTTGACGTATTTTACTTTTGCTCCGTAAGTTTTTAGAAGTACTCGAATACCTTTAGATAGCTATCTATAGCTATGTAATTCATCGAAGTATTTCCTGTTTTTATTTAAGTGTTTTATTATATTAAGTAAATAATTTTGCTTGGAAAGTCTTGAAATAGACGAGAAACTAACAAACCACTATAAGCTATGTAATTCTCAAACGTTTTGCATCATATATAAACGAAGCTTGGTTTGTTGATATGGTGAGGAGCAGTGGACAACTATTCAGATGCAAATTTTATATGTTGTCTT